ATTTTATTATAAATTTATATATTATAATTTAATATTTTTAATATTGTTTAATTATATATAATTTAATATAATATTATAATTAAAATATAAATAATAATAATAATAATAATAATATAGTAATATATAATTTATAATAATATAATATATAATAATAATAAATATAATATATTAACAAATTGTTTAATATATAATATTATTATTATTATTATTTTAATATTGTTTAGTTATATAGTAAAAGTTTCATTTATCTATTATATATTATCATTTCATATTAATAATAATAATAATAATTATAAACAATATTACATTATTTCATATTTTGTATTAATAACAAATGACAGAACGATTTTTATCATGTTAAAAAACAGAGATTTTGTTTAATTGATTGTGACAAAAGTTGATTTTATTCTTTTTAAATGATTTTTACTGTATTATCTGTCATATCTTTCAACATGTCTCTGATAATGAGATAGATTAGGAGGGATGGAAAATGATCGAAATGATCGGAAAAGACATGATTTATTATATGCGTCAGTTCGTTCGTTCCTTTGTTCATATGATCGTTCATTCGTTCGTTCATTCGTTCGTTCATTCGTTCGTTCGTTCGTTCGTTCGTTCGTTCATTCGTTCGTTCGTTCGTTCGTTCGTTCCTACGTTCAGTTCAGATGTAATAGAACGATGCGTTAGTAAACACTCGTTTGACGTGTTCATTAACCAACGTGTTGTTAGGTACGAACGATGCGTGCCGTGCGTCTATGTATAAGTAACAAGTACGTGTAGTGAGTGTCAATTATTTGTGACCATAAATGACAACCTAAATTTGGCGAATACTTTCAATATATTTATCTATTTTTTTATTTTATTTTATTTAAATATTTAATTTTGTACGTATTTATTATTTTTTTTTTTTTTTATACAGTAAGAAGAAGTTATTTGTAGTAGTGTTGTGTGTATCGATTCAAACCTAAATTTACGAATACTTTCAATATTTTTGATCTATTATTTTCATTTATTTTATTGAAATATTTCATTTTGTACGTTTTTATTATTTTTTATACAGTAAGAAGAAGTTGTTTGTAGTAGTGTGCATCTATACAAAACTAAATTTACGAGTAATTTCATTATCTTTTGTTTATTATTTGTTTTATTTTATTTGAATATTTAGTTTCGTACGTTTTTATTTTTTTTTATACAGTAAGAAGAAGTTGTTTGTAGTAGTGTGTATCGATACAAACCTAGATTCACAAATACTTTTACTATCTTTGTCTATTATATACTTTATTTTATTTAAATATTTAATTTTGTACGTTTTTTTTTTTATACAGTAAGAAGAAATTGTTTGCAGTAGTGTGTTAATATACAAACCTAAATTTACGAATACTTTCAATATCTTTGTCTTTTATTTATTTTATTTTATTTAAATATTTAATTTTGTACGTTTTTATTTTTTTTTATACAGTAAGAAGAAGTTGTTTGTATTAATGTGTAAATGTACAAACCTAAATTTACGAATACTTTCATAAATTCACTATCTTTGTCTATTATTTTCATTTATTTTATTGAAATATTTCATTTTGTACGTTTTTCTATTTTTTATACAGTAAGAAGAAGTTGTTTGTATTAGTGTGTATCGATACAAACCTAGATTCACGAATACTTTTACTACCTTTGTCTATTATATACTTTATTTTATTTAAATATTTAATGTCGTACGTTTTAATTTCTTTTTATACAGTAAGAAGAAGTTGTTTGTATTAATATGTAAATATACAAACCTAAATTCACGAATACTTTCATAAATTCACCATCTTTGTCTATTATTTTCATTTATTTTATTGAAATATTTAATTTTGTACGTTTTTTTTTTTTATACAGTAAGAAGAAATTGTTTGCAGTAGTGTGTTAATATACAAATCTAAATTTACGAATACTTTCAATATCTTTGTCTTTTATTTATTTTATTTTATTTAAATATATAATTTTGTACGTTTTTATATTTTTTATACAGTAAGAAAAGAAGTTCGTAGTAATGTAGTATCGATACAATACTCTTATAATTAATTACAAATGTTATATTTTTTCTGTATATTTCTTTTGTATTTTTTTACAACTGTAATCTTCGAGAATACTTAGAAAATGGATTACGTTAACTCCTTTTACAAGTATGATTTGAATTTTTTTTTTTTCTTTTTTCATTTTATTATTTCATATGATACATTTATCTCACACAATACACTTTCATACTTTTCCACTTGTCATATTGCTTAGATAAGATCTGAGAGGTGTTACTTTTTTTATAATTTTCAAAAAAAAAAAAAAAGAAAGAAAGAAAGAGAAAGAAAGAGAAGAAAAAAGAATGAAAAAAAAAAAAAAACATGTCTTACGATATCGACTCGTTTTTTTTATTACGCGTGTTAGATACCGAAAGATTAAGTGCACTCTTACTTTTATTTAATTAAGATACTTCAGTTTGTATTCGTATTAATAAGTTAACGAGATAATCTTACTCGCGTCTTTTACGATTACTAATTAAAAAATGAAAATTCATCGTTGGTAATTTTGACGTTATAAAACAAACAAACAACAAAACCAAAAAGAAACATTGATAATAATACGTGAGATTCATGCATTTCGAGAGAATGATC